GAGAGAGAGAGAGAGAGAAAGAGAGGGGCAAACTTTAAGCGCGAGCGGAAAGGCGCGTGAGGTAGAAAGCGTGGCGCGCGCCACAAGCAAAACACGCCTCTCTCCCTCCTTCGCGCTCTTCTCTCTCGCGCGGCGGGGATGCCGCTGGCACGCTTGTGCTGCTGCCGCCGCCGCCGCCGCCGCCGGTGCTGCTTCCTCCTCGTCTCCTTTGGCGTCTCTCCAAGCGCAACTTCCCGCCAACTTCTTCTGCCACCCGACTTCTAGCAAACGGAGCAGAGGTGGCGGAGCCAAACGGGCTTTGCCTCCTTTTCTTCTTCCTCTTCTTCTTCTTCCAGACTTGGGACCCCCCTCCGGGTCGGGAGGCGGTTACCCCACAGCCCGCCTCCACTCCGGGAAAGCAGCCCGTCTCTTCGACTCTCTTCGGAGGCTCGGCCTCAGCTGATCGCCTCCTCCGGTCGGGACTGCAAGCCGGGCAAAGAAAAAGAGACGGCGAAAGAGGAGAAAGGGAGGAGTGTATGTGTGTGTGTGTGTGGTGGGGGGCAGCCGCACATGCCCGGCAAACCACCGCCTCTCCTCAAACAAAGACTGACCCAGGGCACCTTCCTCGCCCCCCTAAGCTAGCCTTGCCTTCGCCGGAGACGCCGCTCTGATTATCTTCCGAAAGCAAGAAAAAAAGAAGGGAAAAGAAAAGATGGGTGGATGGATGGATGAATGCTGAAAAGTGACACCTCCCCCCCCCCCGCAAACACCCACCCACCCACCTGCAACACCCGGGATAAAGCTTGGCAATAGCTGCTTGGCAGGTGCTCGGTCCCTGCCTGCCTCCTCTTGCTTCGCCGTGGAAGATTTCCTTTGGCTGGGCTCTTCCCGGGGAGGGTTGTCTTCCCTCCGACCGCAAGACCGGATCCATGGCCCTCTCCTTCTGGAGGCGGGGGAAATAAAGGCGCCGCTGCTCGTCCCCAGGCAGAGAAACTAACCGGAGACAACCTTTTGCGGTGGGAGACTGTCCAGCTCGGAAGGGGGAAAGGGGGGGGGGGGAAGGGACGACGAAGACGACGACGAAGATTCAAGCAATCCAGCCTCGCCGGTGGCGTCCGGAGAACCCGAGTCCCCCCCCCTCAAGCCCCTTCCGTATGAAAGGAATAACTTCCCTGAGGATTTCTGTGGTTCTTTGGCTCTTGTGCTTGGAGAGAGAGATCTTGTCTCTGAAGTCCCGGCGTGTCTTTCGGGCTTTTCTTTTCTTTTTTTTAAATTATTATTATTAATATTATTATTATTATTATTGTGCGTTTATTTTTTTTAAAAGAAACAACATTATTGCAAGCAACACTTGTAAATAAAGCGCTCAATCCCCCGGGCAACACAAAGTGGTGCTAAGGAGTGTAACTTAAGCTGCTCTGAAAGCGAAAACAATTTTTTTTTTCCATCCACACCCTCCCGTCCCCCGGCTCAGCTTGCCTCGAGCAGCCTGGATCGCCAGCCCAGATGGAGATACACTGTAAGCACGACCCGTTTGCAGCGATGCATAGTAAGTAGAGGCGGCTGGTTCCGTGGTTTTTTCCCCCTCCCTCTCTCTCTCTCTCTGGCTTTCGGCACCAAGCTGCCGGCGTGTCTTAGCCGCGCTCCCCCCCCCCCCAGCAGCCCAGAGTGTTTGTTTATTGAAGTGGGAGGGAGAGAGAGAAAGAGAGAGGGAGGGAGGGAGGAAGAGAGGGAGGAGGGGAGGCTGCTGGAGCCGAGACACTTTTGGGCATCGCTGGAGAGAAGCACAGCGGCATCGGAGCGGCTTCTCCGAGCTAGCTCAGGAGGTTAGAGCCGGCCGCGCTGGCAGTTCGCAACCTCCTTCAACTACGGCTTTTTATTCCCCTGGCGATTTCGAAGGAGTTTAAAGCCAACCCCAAGCAAAAAGAAACTAAACCTAAAACGGCCCCGCTCGCTCCCTTCCCATGCAAACCACGACACACCTTTTAAGCTAATGCAACGTTATTATTGAGGACGCGATCCGGTTGAAGGGAGACGGTTGCGAAGCTCCCCGTTGATTTCCATGGGAGGGTTTGAACTAAACGTGCGCTGTAACTCCTTCTCCACCCATCTGGGGCTCTTCGACCAAAGTGGGTTTACACTGATTTAATTTTTAAAGAACTCATTCGCGGGTTCTAGGACCTGGCGGCCTTAAAAATATCTCCAGCCCAATTATTATTAGAGCAAGAAAAGAGACCCGGGACAAGAGCAAAAAGGGATCCAGTTATCTTGCAGGCGCTATTCACTTAAAAGTGTCGGCGCGTAAGTCGCACTGATTTCAAATGGACCTACATTTATACAGCTACCTACTTAGTACTTCCCTATATCCTGCATTTTCTTTCTCCTCTCATTCAATATATTTTATTTCTCTTCCATATATTTTGATTCTGTCTACCCGTTGCAGCTCTTTCTCTGGCTTTCGCTCTCTTACAAAGTTCAAGTCGCCCAGCTGGAATATATATTATGTGTGTGTGTGTATTAGTGTGTGTGTCTATACACACACACATATATTCCAACTGGGCGACTTGAACTTTGTAAGAGAGTATATATATAATGGAAAAATATTTGAAATTAATGCTAGTAAATAGGATTACCACAGTCCAGCTGAGTTGAATGCCCTTCTAAGGAATCTCTGAAATAATCCTGAATATATACCAAGCCCTTAAACCAAAAAGTGTGTAATCTGTTGATGTTTCCTGCGCGTGGGCTCTAAAACGACGAGAAGAGCTGAAGCTGCTTCTTCTCCTTCTCACGGCAACAACAAATTAGTCGTAATGGCGTGTTTAAAAATAGCCTTATATGTTTGGACTCGGCTGTTTTAAGTTAGCAGCCATGGATAATATATTTGCTTGGGATTTGCTGTGCCTGAGAGGGCTGGAGGAGATTTTTCATTAACACAGGGTTATGAGAAATGACATCGTTTCTCACGGTGAGTTAAATGCTGGATTAGATCCAGAGATTTCAAGGAAACCTAGGAGAGAACCAAACACATTTCTCTTACGTGCAGCAGGCTTTTAAGGAAGACAAGTGTTCTTTTGTGTTATCTATTTATCTACCTAATCGTTTGCTCTACGAAACCATTTCATGCTTCCCCATTGGGTACACAGAGTAAGCACAAGATAGAGAACTCGGATGTGAAACTGTTGGCGAGTATATACCATTCACCTTCATAGGAAAGGTACTATTTGGGTGGCTCTATCCCAATTTGAAATTTGTAGGAAATGCTTATCCGAAGCCAAACAGAGCCAAAAAGGATTTGGGGATTTTATGAGAGGCATCTAACTGCAGGCAAACAACATTTCCATATTTAAATTATGGGGGCAGAAATGTTCCTACTGCCTGCCGTTCCCCCCCCCCCCCGGAAATTCCTTTGTGTTAATTTGAAGAGAGGCTGAGTGAGGAAGCTGCGGGGAAAGGATCCTCCATTAACCTAAACAATGATAAATCGGTATCTTCTGCAGGAATGTAAGGACAACAAAAACAAACTGGTACAAGTGTACTGTCAATTTGGGGGGGGGGGGATGGGGAAAGAGCATCCAATCCAAACTGAGTTTTATACTTCTCTCTCTCTCCCCCCTCCCTGACCCCAATCAATGCATTGGTGGTAGTTATTTAAATATTCTCTCTCTCTCTCTCTCTCTCTCTCTCTCTCTCTCTCTCTCTCTCCCTCTCCCTCTCCCTCTCCCTCTCCCTCTCCCTCTCCCTCCCTCCGGGGATAGGGGAGAAATAGCAAGTTGTTTTTCCAAAAGTGGAAGGTAGAGGATGAAAACGTGGCATGTAGTCATGTACTGTACAGCATTGCCACGTTGCATTCCTTGTCAGAAAACACTTAAAAATAAACGGGAGGCGCTGAAACTTCTCTGTAACGCCCCAGACAAACTAACCCCTTCTCTAAAGGAAATAATTTACCGCAGAAAGGGCTGACTTTAAAAACCCAGCGTAGTCGTCGTCTTTAAAGGTTTGCCTTTCCTTTCGCCTGTCTCCTAAATAACTCCCTCGAAGCGAAGGGATCTTTTGACCTGGGCCTTTTAAACAAGGGCTTGTGAACAACTGCTTGTAAAGAAAACACGCACACGCCCGCTTTAAAAGTCACACGCAAAAGCAACCTTTTGCAATCTTCGGGGTCGTGGTGGTTGGGATCTCGTTCTCGGTCCGAGTTAAAGCCGAGGCAACCGCGGCACGCGTTCGATCTTGCAGAGAAAACAAACCTACGTTTTTCTTCTTCTTATCAGAGCATCAGGTCTGGATAAATGTTCCATTTTAGGAGCATCTTGTCCACAGAAGAAGAATCTTAGGCGAGCTTCCTGGGGCGTCCATCCGCTGTCCGTTTCCCCCACTATGAATCTTTTCGGCACAATGCCTTGCCTAGATTTGCTCTAGGAAGAAAGCCGTGTTTTGGACAACGGAGTCACTTGAAGAATTAGCTGGAACTGACGTGTCCCCACTCCCCCCCCCGCACCTTTTAGCAGGGTAGAGTTAGGTGGTTATCAGCAATGCGGAAAAGAAGTCTTAAACCATTTTTAACAGACTCCAAGATCCTCCTCCTTCATCAGTTAAGGCCAGTTGTCTCTCGTGGCTAGTTCTTTCACCAACTTTTATTCTTTTGAGCACACTGTTTTCTGATGTGCTGACAATTTGTTTGTGAAAAGGCATACTTGGGGGGAAAAAAATCAGATTGAGACAAGATTGGCTTACCTTGTGATGGTTTGCTCAAAATGCAAAGAGTTGTTGAGTTTCCAAACCAGACTCTCAGTTACATCCATATTGACCACCTTTGAGCTTTCAAATTTCAGCAAGAAACATAAATTCTGCTCACCTATCAAATATTTGTGTTTTGAGAAAACCGAAATGCATGGAGAAATTGAAAAGTATTTGGCATTTTATTGTAGAGGGATCAAGCTGTTCCTTTGCTATTATCTTGTGCTGAGTCAGCTGAACTTTATAACAGCAGGAAAGTCTTGAGGATGAACTTCAGATAATACTCTGCAGGTGATCAAAATGTCTAAAATTTCCTCACTAAACTGGACTAGGCAGGCAGAAGAGTGTTAAGGTGTCAGAAGAATACATATGTTCGTTTTTTCACTCATTCACAAACATGCATTCCAGCTGTTATTCACACTTCAAGAGGAGCACCAGCATTTATATATGTATATTCAAGCAATTTAAGGCTCAAAGATTAACTGGCCTCTTTAATGCCTCTGCAGAGGTCTTGTCTTGGGATTTGGAGATTATTTAGCTAACACTTTAATGACCCAAAGATGCATAAGTTACAAACATTAATTTTAGAGAGAATTGTCTATATTTGTCCAACACAAATTGCTGTCCACCACCAGCATGTTACCTAACACCCTGGAAAAAAAAATATTACACACACACACATGGCACACTGCAGCACTTGTGCAATGCACATGCCCCACAGATTCTTCTGTGGAAATATTTGGAGTAACTAATTATTTTCTCAAAATTTGTAAGGATTCAAGCTGATTTTCTCTCTGGGACAAATCAGTTGTTCATAGAAGTGAAACTATTTTCATTGTATGCAATTAAACTGGATTGGATTATCTTTCTTATGTGCTGGGCTATTTCCTTAAAAGCAAGGAAGCTTTGGCCTGTTAAATCTTTCTTCTCACTCCCTGTGTTACTTTTAAATACTGAAGACATCTACTGCTAAGAGAGAATTTATGTGTGATAATAGAAAAAGATTACAGGGAAAACTCCCACCGATGATGATGGGAGTTTCTTTTTATTGGAACTAGTAATTCCCTTGCCATTCCAAATGCTTATCCATCAAAAAGATGAGCAGTGTAAATCTGGAGCTCACAATCACACAAATTCTGGAAGGGCATATATACCTGTGCAGATATTTTTTTTTACCACTACTTGCATTTTTACCATTTAATGTCAGTGCAACTGCAGATTCAGCCCACAGGAAAAAATAGAGGAAGCTCTATTTTTGTATTGTTTTATTTCCTTGGCATTCTTTTCTGCTCTCTTTAGAGTGACTTCCTTCCTTCCTTCCATCCTTCTGTCCTCCCTCCCTCCCTCCTTCCCTTGATTATTGGAACCTGACTAAGTTTGGGAAGGTAGAGCAACCATCTTTCTGATACACACACACCATACATACATCAAGTATGTATGAATGTCAGCTTTTTTAGACTTGGTCATTGATTTGACTATCACTTGTGCTCTTTAGTTTATTTTCTTATTTTTCCATAAAGATAAAAGTTAATATATGCAATTCTGGAAATGCAATTTTTACATTTGCTTCTGCAAATCGCAGCATAGAGCCTTGCTGATTTATTCAGCTAGGCTACAGTTCTGTACAATATGTCAAACTGCTTAAACCCCACAAATACTGGCTGAGTTTTAAGCAGTACAGCAGCTGTTTGCTGTCTTTTATTAACAGATCTGACTGAAATTGTGTATAGGAACTGCAATTATTGTAGAATTAAAGCCTTTCCTAGCTTTAATGGAAGTTCTAACTCAAGATATAATGGATTTTCTCTCTGTTTTTATACTTCTCTCTTTCTCTCCCTCTCCCTCCACTTCCTATTCTATTTAACCTTATGTTTAAATATACTGTATTTTTGATACATTGAAGCAATAATACAATGTATTATTGGCTGCAAATCTGTTAGCTTTAGAAAACTACAGTGTGTACTATCTTGCTTTGTTTAACTAGTTTTGACTCAGTTTCACTAACTTTAGGTTGATTCCCTTGACAGCAAACTGTTTCACCGAAGAAATTTACGCACACTTCCAGATCAGAGTAATATACAGTCCACATTAACTGATAAATTAAATTTATTTCCAAATTGCTGCACTTCTAATTGGGGTTGTAAATCTATAAAGGTTATATTTATAGATTGCATTTTTATGAGCTGAAATTTGCTATCCCTTTGCAAAGACATTGTAATTTTGAGGGATTTTTAAAACTGTGCAATTAAGACACTGAACAATAATTCTCTTAATATCAGAGTCATGGTTAATGATAATAAAACAGCACCTGAACATTCTATTCTTTTGACAATCTGCTAAAGTATACTTTTAATTTTGGTTTACCTATTCTTTCCTTCTTTCCTTGGACAATGTTCTAAAGATCAAATAAAATATTAGTAATTCAAACAAAACAATAAATATAAAACTTGCTAAACCAGTTCTGGGGCAAAACACAATTTTTCAGTTAATCTTGCTTATTCAAATTAATCTTTAACAAGTAATAATGGACTTTCACTATATATTAGTTTTGGAAGATATATACAGACCCTGTCAGGTTTATCAATAGTAACATTGTTGGGCTTAATAAACATGGATGATATAGTTAGCTAGATTTTTATTTAATGCAGAGTTAGTAGATTGTGTTCAGTTCAAGCCTTCTGTAAATAGAGAAATTACTTTATTCAATATTGCCAATAATGTTGGCTCTTGCAATTATTTGTGTTCAACATTGCTACTTCTTTATCATAGTTTGTCTGATGAACAAATTTAGAGTTAATTATATTTTCTCACTATTCCATGGCACTGTATTTCATGCTTATTGGTTTTATCCAGTTAGCTACTATTTATCTAGTTGGAAACCACTTTATATCAGATGTTTCAATTTATTAAAAAAAATAGTGAAAATGTACATATAGGGGAAAAATAATCCTGTCTTGCTCAGCCACACAATATAGTGCCTTAATATTTTCATAGGCATTGTAAAACATGTAAATCTGAAGTTATTTCACACAGAGACACATTTATATAAGGCATTAATAACTGAGCTATGATATTGAAAGAAAAACAGATTACTTTTGGAAGTCCCATCAATGGAGCCACCTTTCTAAATTTGGCCCTATTTCCTCCAGAGATGACCATGGCTTGGCTTTATTTACCATCAAAGTTAGACCGGCACATTTACTGTAAACATATTTACATGTAAGTAAATCTGATTGAATTTAATGGTATTAAAACAAGCATGCTAAGAATTTTAGCTTCAGATTTACACCTTAAATTTGATAGCTATCATTCGTAATTTTTTGGTGCCAGATGAGTTGCGGGCTGGCCTAAAAATAACTTTTGAGAGATTTATTTTTCCAAATTGGAGGCCTGAATCTCATGCCACATAATCCTGGATAATTATTGAAGTAATTAGAGTTACACAAGTGTAAAATTGCTATCAGTGTCAAATTAGGTTTTAGTAAATAACATTGTTCATCGTCCTCTGAGCAAATAAACCATAACCAGCATTTCAGAAATGCCCAAACTCTTATGAAGAAGTTATTCAGTGCTTAATGGTAGACAGGAAGCCATAGCTACAGGAAGCCTTTTAAAGCATTTTCTAAACAGTCACAAAGATGTATTTTTTTCTCTGCTTGTTTTTTGTTTATTTCCCCCCATATCTTTCAGGACATGGAGGAGTGAATCAATTAGGGGGTGTTTTTGTGAATGGTCGGCCGCTGCCTGACGTTGTTCGCCAAAGGATTGTGGAACTAGCCCATCAAGGTGTCCGACCTTGCGACATCTCCAGGCAATTGCGAGTCAGCCATGGCTGCGTCAGCAAAATTCTTGGCAGGTAAAAGCAGATCAAAGTGAATCAGACCAATTCTAAAAAGAATAATAATAATGCATGCTGTTTGTGTGTTGGAGTTATTCTAAGAAGCAGTTCAGCTAGCAGAAAGGTGACTAAGCCAATAATAAGAATAGTTGAAGAATGTGGCTGGAAAATGCTTTATAGTTATATTCTTGATTACGGTAACATGTATCATAAGCTTCCTACTGAACCTCTGAACTCACCTGAAAAATGGCAGGAAATTACTGCTAAGTGAAAGGAAATTTGTTTTCTTTCTGCAATCCAATCCATGCTAATTTAGCAATAATTCTACTGGCTTCTTTGAGACCACTTTCAAGTAAATGAACTGAAGTCCATGAACTTCTGGCTTTAATATTTAAATGTACATTTGACTGAGGTTTTAAACTGCAGTACAAATCATTTTCTTGGCTATAAGACTTACCGAACAAAACAATTGTGAGAAGTCAAGCCCTGGTTTTGCCTATTAAATGGATAGTTTAGAATTCCTTTTTGTAATTATATATATAAAAATGAATATTTTATTTTGCAATGGAATTAAATTGGAAATAAGGACAAATTGCATATACAAATAATGCAATAGTATTAATGATACTTCAATTTTGTTGTTCTGATCTAAGCAATGCAACAACATAACATTTATTTAAAAAAAGCAAAGAGAACAATTTCCAATAATATAAATGTAGATTGAGAAATGGTATGTCTGAGACAGCATCATGATTTTGAACATCAATATAATGCTTCAATGAGTTTTTTCTTGATTTAATAAGATTTTTTATGCTTTTATGTTTTGTTTTATGTGTATCTATGTATTGTTTGTCTTGAAAATAAAACTTGTTTTTTTTTTTTTTAAAAAAATAAGATTGGACATACACATTAAATTTGTATAAGGGAAAAATAAATTAGAACTAATTAGTTAATTGTTCTCACCAAAGGTAGTTTGTAGATGTACCACACTGATTTCCATTACATTAGCAATATTTTTGCCTAAATAAAAATCTTTCATCCTAAAATTTGTCAGTGTTTTAGGTATTATGGATATCGATGTATTGTTTCCCCTCACCTGAATAGATAAGTTTTTACATTTGCAAAAGTTAGAAAAAGTCAATATTTGATCACCTATGTAACAATCTTGCCTGAATCTACTTGGAACAATGACAAAAATGAACATAATAGATTTTATTAAATTTTATTACATATGTACAAGACAAAACTGTTATTTTTTATATACTTTCCCCACATGACATTTTTTAAATCACTTCTATTACTTCTTCTTTACTAGCTAGCCATAGTACATAGGTGTGAAGGTCTGGACCTAGTACTGAAAACCAAAAGTACAATTTCTAATGAACTCGAGCAGAACTTTTATTTTAAATACTTTGCTAAAAATTATAATTCATTAAAAATGTATTCTTTAATCTAATTCTTTAATTGTGGGAGCAAAGCTTTCCCACTGATATTAAAGCATGATGTTTAACACATTAAATATAGCTATGAATCTGATTTATCTCTATACTTTGTGTTGACTGTCAATCAACAGAAGACATACAGAAGGTCAACAAATATAAAAAAATGGATCTTTTTTCTTTGCAATTATTTGATATAAGTATAAATCAGAGAATGAAATACAGTTGGTTTAGGTTTATATACAGAGAAATATAACTTCATATGTGCAGGTGTGGGTGTATTCTAATATTGAATTCCAAAAGATAATTTATTCTGGAAATATTCTGATTTTAGCAGGACTGCTTTTCGATAAATAGCCTTAAGACTGAAGTGTTAAAAGTTGTAATGCAATGTATATTTCTTAAAAAAGGCAAGCTGGTAAATACAAGGAAAATAAAAGTCAGCACTAATATACAATTATACGTTTTCATATATTTTATTTTTTATATTAGAACAGAACATTAATATTTCTGGAATGTTAAGTCCTATTTCTTAATGGCAGCAGTTGGTTTTGTGGTATCCTGTTTTATTTTTCCTTCTTCAATTCTCTCGGAAGGCTAAATAATCATTTTTATTAGTATCAATGACTGAAACAAATAAACAGGTCAGAAAGAACATGTAATTGTTTTAACGTTTCAGAATGGATTTGTCTTTAGAGGTATTTGCACTATTATGGAATTAAGAATCAAGTTCTGGAGCTTTGTCACTTAAGTTGTCAACAATAAATTGAAATTTCATAGCTCATTATTTTCATAAGTAATAATTACAATTCATAAAATGTCAGTGTAATTGGAGAACACTCTTTCCTTCTCTGTGTGTGCATCTTAAACAAAAAAAAAAAAGAGAAGTCAGTTATATATGAAGTTTCATTCCATTTTGGGAACCAGTATTTCTTAATTTACAACTTTTAAGTTCAACCATGGGGCAAAAGTAATAGTTGGAAATATAACTATATAACAATAATTTGATAGGAGTTATGAATCTGTGGCCAATAGTGCTTGAGAATATTATTACTGAAGGTATGTGTAAGTGGACAGCATGATGAATTCCAGAAGTAACCACAACCTGAATGTGAGTCTTTTCCTGTCAGTCCAGGATTGGAAAGATATAGCTTTCTTCAACTGTATATTAATTTGTAAAATAATTCAGTTTGTATTGTTGTGTTTGGTCATGACACAAAGTAAATATTAGTCATTACTTTCTCCAGGGAAAAACTGGGGTGATAACATTAGGATAAAAAAATCAAATCCCCGGACGTAGTATCACCATAACAGAATGGGAAAAGGTCTGGGGTAGAAATAATAAAATTACAAAATCGGTAGCATACAAAGAAAATGCCTATAAAATGTTTTATAGATGGCACCTTCCTCCTTCGAGATTAGCGAAGATGCACCCCAATATGAGTCCGAATTGCTGGAAATTCAAAAAAAACCCAGGGAACTTTCTTCCATATGTGGTGGTCCTGTACAGAAGCTCAAAAATATTGGCAGAAAATTAAAAATTGGCTGGAGGAAATGACAAGAGAACAGATCGAATTCAAACCAGAGTCCTTTCTGTTAGGGATCTTTGATAAACAAATACCAAAAAAAGTGAAATATATAATAATACATATTTTGACAGCGGCCAGATTGGCTTTTGCACAATGTTGGAAACAGCCTCATGTTCCATCAGAGGAGATGATTATTCAAAAAATTTCAAGTTGTGCAGAAATAGACAAATTAACCTTGGCATTAAAAAATAAAGACAGTTCAATATACTACAACAGCTGGAACTGCTGGTACAAATGGATAGACCAAAGATAGATTTCGCACTAAAAGGCAAAAGAGGATAGGATAGAACCACAGTAGTGATATACAGATATATGTAAGGAATAAGTGTGTATATGGCATAAAATAAGGATAAAAAGGAGGTCTCACAAACTGTTGAAGATGAAAATGTTTTTAATTGTTTTCTATCTTTTTCTTTCTATTTTCTTCTTCCTTTCTTTTTCTCTCTTACATTTATGTATGTGTTGTTGGTCTGTTTTAATCAATAAAATTTATTTAAAAAAAATCAAATCCCAATGATCATTTACTTTTTTTTTTTAATGCAAGGCATTTTTTACTGACTGATCTCAAATCAGGTCCAAACTGTCTTTCTTTCAGTAGTGTAACAGCAATGGTTTAAATAGGGCCATAGCCTGCTATTGAGCTCATTAAAGCAGCCGATTTAAGGGTAAATGTCAAGTATCACAAAGAGGGCCAATTGTTATTAATCTGCTATTATTGTATTTTTACTGGTTGTATTGGGGAGAAATGTTTTCTACCTCATACTGACAGTGCAATTTGACTGACTTTGGATATGATATACTTTGTTTTCCTGCATGGGTGATGCTACTTGCCGTATCCCCAGGCAACAAAATGTCAGACCAGTTAAAATGCATTACGTCTCTTGCTACTGCCACACTTTCTTTTAGCCAGCCATTTTTCTCACTTTTAGCACCCTAACAGTGAGAATATAGTTTAATAATTCTGAGGTGCTTTAAAAAGTAATGTCTAATCATTCTAAAATGGTACCTAGCTCTTAAATATTGGTATCAACTGCTTCCAGAATTTTCATAGTGAAAATTGAAATGCAACAATAAGTTATTAATCAGCAAAGCCTAAGGCAGGAAATTAAGCATTATATACTGCAAAAGTTCCATTTCATAAATTGGGAGTGACATGAAAAATGCCTGCATTAAATCTGATTGATTTCTATTGGATTTGAAGAGAATACATTGGTTTAAAATGAACTTTTTTTTAGTTTAACTAGATTAAAGTCAGATAATGTGATCAAAGCAGGAAAATTATTCTGTAAAGCATCTAAATGTTCTTATTTCTTATTCAAGCACTGCCTTGAGTCTCTTGACAATTGAGTGGCTCTAAAAATTGATTAATTGAATTAATAAATGAATAATTGTTGTTAGGTATAAACACATTGTTAATTATTGTGTGATAATTATTGCATATACAAGAAAGTCACAATTAAATTTTGACCAGAGGGGTTATTTTATTTTATTTATTATTCTATTTCTGTACCATCCTTCCTGCCAGAGGATCTCAGTGCAATTCACAAAAATATTATGCAAACAGGATTAAATGAATCCATCATAATAAAACCCACAATACTGGTTTAATTATGAGATTTTGAAACCATTTAATCTTGTGATTCTTGGCAATTTACAGAAATAAAAATATCCATACCATAATAATATAAACTAAAATAATAAAAGCATAAAAATCGATTTAAATTAAAACAGTTTTTGAATTACACTTAACATTTTAATGAAGCACTTTTAATTAATTATTTGAAAGCCCTCTGGAGGAGAGCCATTTTTACCAACTTTTGGAAGACTAACAAAAGGTTGGCAGGTCAAATCTCCTATTTCAGAAAACAGGAGCCTTCAATGGAAAAGTGTTTTTTCTAACAATAAATACAATAAATAAAGTTCATTAAGAAAAACAAAGTAGTAGTTAACCCAGAAGAAGACCGGCTCTCAATAAGTTGTCACCCAGGAATGTAAAGGTGAAAAAGAGTCACTAGATTCATTTTCTGAAAGAAGATAGAACAAGGATAATCTGAGCAGAATTTGGGAGAAAATTCCATAATTGGGGCTCTGCCACTCAGAATGCAAAGGTTTAAACATAATTTTCATCAATAAACAGCTTGTGCAAACTGAAACTGAACAGCAGGTCACTTCTTTAAAAAGCTAGCAGGCATACTGGATGGGAATTTTTCCTTAGGATTCTGCACAAACCTTACAGTTTTGGGATAATTGTTCCCAAAAAGATGAGCTCCAGATACATTGGATTTCAACCACACAATTCCCAGTGTGTAGGCCAAACTGAATGGGGATTAAATAAAATTTATTTGCAGGGAACCACTCAGGAAAGACTGCAATTGAATTTAACTTCAGTATCCTGCTTAACAATTTATTAGGTCCGAAATAAAGACTACCCCCCAAAAAGGGATTTATCTCTAATAATAAATACAGAAATGCATTAACAAAATGCATACAGAAGTTCAGTCATGACAAGGTAATCTTGGACTTACAATAGTTCATTTAATGACTGTTCAAATTTACAACGGGTTTGAAAAAAATGGGACCGTTGGAGTACCCCATGCATTCTTTTCATGATGCTATTTTAACATTTTATGCCTGTGTCATGTCTTTGACAATTTCCTATAAATACGGCAGTGTCAAAATACTGGTTTGATTTAATTTTGTTATAGATTAATAATACAGATTTTGAGATAATTTTAAATTCAAGCATGACATATTAACTTATTTTTTTGCTGGCAAAAAAAGCATGCAACATCATTGCAGTTACCCCCCTTAAATTATCTATGTAAAATCTAAGAAAAGAAATGAATGTATTATTAATATCAGTGATGCAATACAGTAAAGATATGTTAATATATTGCTATTGAAAAATGTGAGAACCTAATTTGTGCCATTCTTAAATTCTTATCCTTTATTGGAGGTGGGAGGTGGGCTTAAAATGCATTAAAATGCTTTCTAAACCTAAGCTTTCCTTTTCTGCCTTTCACCCTCTAGGTATTACGAGACTGGAAGCATTAAGCCTGGAGTTATTGGAGGTTCAAAGCCAAAGGTTGCCACACCCAAAGTAGTAGAAAAAATTGCAGAATATAAACGCCAAAATCCCACCATGTTTGCTTGGGAGATCAGGGACAGACTTTTAGCAGAAAGAGTGTGCGATAATGACACAGTGCCCAGCGTTAGTTCAATTAACAGGTAAGCTTCTTTTAGACTGCATAGAAGGGATGCTTTTGGCAGTGTTTGTTATTATCTGAAAATGACACAGGATTATTTTGGCTATTTGCATGGCTGTTTTTCCCCCCTAGATGCAAAATCCATATGTACCAGTCAGTTTAGTTTTCATCTAAGTTTGCTTCACTGAGCCAAATAGAAACAATCTCTAATATGGGTTGGTATAGCAGTGGTAGAAATAATACACACTTATACGCACATATATAAGATTAACAAAAGTATTATAACATTTCTCCTAGATTCCAGATTTGCTTTTTTTATTTTTGGTGCTCCTATACACTGACACATTGACATTTGAATTCTCAGGAGAAGATGGCAGTATTAATTTGCCATATAATGAAATTTGTTCAAAATTAGTACAATTAAGAAATGAGCAACAAATAAGCTAGGCTAGGGGAAAGATCAGATATTGTAGATTTTCCTGCATCTTTATTACCACTGTATTGAAAGAAACTCAATAGTTTATCTGACAATTCAAACAAAAGTGGAGAATCTAGGCTGGAACTGGTAGGTTCAATTTCTTGACTGGTGTAATGAATCTATGAAGTTTATTATTATTTAGCTAGCATATGATGAGTACATGACAGAATCTATCAGATTTTAGGTTAATTTTGCTAAATAGTTCACAATTCTAATATAAAACATGCTGTAAAAATAGAACTTTGAATTTTGGAGGTTTGGTGATTTGAACTTCTATGGTGCCCAAAACAGTTATGCTTACAAATATGTATACTTCTTGCTTTTTCAGGGAGAGTTAGTCATTGATTTTATTATGTATTTATTAAACAAATTTATATAACCACCCAACTTACATGTAAGTGGCTTACAACATTAAAATACCCATCCTATCATACTAGTGCCTACAATAGGAATTCATCACATCCCAGATACATGTTTCATAAGAGTTAAAATATCATTTGGATATGATTCATCCACCATCTATTTATTCCCTGTTAATTCTATTTAAATTCACATTTTGATCAAAAGTAGATTACTGCAAATTTGTTATCTGGTGTGCTTGTTGTATTAATTACTGAAGCATTAACACCATTAAGCAAAGTGTTCTATACCAGTATTAAGATTTGCAGCACAATTCAAGTTTGAATTCCCATTCTGATAGGAATTCAAGATAGTTTTGCTAGCCTTTATTCCGATTTGATAGTACATCTCAAAATTTCCTGAGATATTGTAGGTAGTTCTGAGTTGTTATAAAGTCAAACTTACTTATATATTTAATTATATGTATTTGTTCAATTTATATGGCTATCCATCTCAAAGAAATGATTCTGGGTGGCTAACAACATTTAAAAAAAAAGCAAAATGACAACAGAAACTACAAAATAGACAACTGGCAGCTGAGATTTTTTTTTCTTAGAAAAATATCAATACAGGTATAATACAAATATTTCAACAAATCTAATTTATAGACTCCAACCCTAAATCCAGGAACACAGACCTTGCAAAAGGAAAACATATAAGTATAATAGAAATTTCTATGTTTATCCTGGTTGCTTTTATTATGACCAGAAGTAAAACCTTAATCTGATTCCAAAGAATCTTTTAAATACCATGTTCATCATGCAGACCTTTTAGGCATGCTCTCTGAGGTTTGCTGCTTCAGAGAATATATTTGATTTAAAATTAAATAAAATTGTTTGGTAAATCAAAGACATACATAATGTATAAGCGTTACATATTTACATATAAAACAACAGTAGCATTAAAGGATTTTGTCATGATTTAGCTTTGATTGTAGAAAGGTGCCCTGGAATGTTCTAGAAATGAATATATCGTAGCTGTTTGCAACTATTTAGACTGCTGCAGAGACCAGCAACCTGGTCCTAGGAAAAGATGCAGGTGCTCAGGTTGTCACAAGTGTGTTCAAAGCCCCTTTCCAGATTTTTCTGAGTCACAGTATAGCCCTAATAATTTCTATTAATCTCATGTTTATATTTTCAATGTAACTAATAATAAAATTCCATTTGTTCAACCTGAAATAAAGCTTTACATATTGTGTTACATTTCTATTTAAGGATTCAAACATTTTTGGAATGCCACAAAATATTTAGCATTTTAATAGTAAAATATTAACAATCACCAGAGACTAGGAAAAATGTTCAGTATACAAAAATGAAGAATGTTAGTTTTTCAGTGGATTGTCAAATTGTATTTAAATAACTAAATATTTTGCAGTTGAATTACGTAGCTTCATGTATATTTATAACATGAAGAACATTGGCTTAAATTTTGATTAAAATTAAGAAGGCTACCTGCAACTTAGCATATTTCATTAATTTAAATGGAAAATATGTGCTACCAGCTTTTTTGCAAGGGGAATGATTGTTTGAAGTGCTATTAAAACATTAAAGTTTATTTCTTTTCTAAATGAAGTGAAAGCGCAATAATTAATCACAGTGGCTAAAATAGAAATTCTAGCACTTTTGATGAATTTTGAATCAGTTATTAGTTTTACTTTCTTTTCTTCTACAAATATTATAGGATTGTGGACCAAATAGTTGCCAGTGACCAGCTACATAAATGGATAACATTCTTGCAATCACACCTGCATATAATTATTTAAGAAATTTTATATCACCTAATCAAATAATGTAAGATATATTGGGTGAGACTGAAAAGTAAACTAATAGCTTGACCTACAATCTAATTAAAAATGTTCATGAGCCAAAGCTAGCTTAGTCATATTAATATCAATATGATGTAATTAAAATATTCAACTATTCAAATATTCTTGGCCTTTGATTAAGTTACCTCAGCTTGTGTTATCTTAAAATAACATTTATGTTTTACACTCACTACAAATCAAGGACCTAGCTCTGTATTCAGCAATACCACTTTATGCCAGTTTTATGAAGGCTGGATTTGAATGCAGAATATAACTACAGAGAATTTTTTGCTGACTACAACGTGACTAATTTTAAAGAAATCATATATGATTTTCGTTGTTACCTGGCCTTTATGGGAGCCATTCACCAAAAACAGTTTAAGCAACAAATACATTCTCTTGTGTATAAAGATCTCATACTGATTTATCTTAATTTTAATTTACACCAGGTGCTTTAAGTAATTGATGTTTATATTCTTCTCCTTCAGTACTCCTTTTTTCTTTTATAGAATAAACCTATCTTATCCCCAGAAACTGAGTTCAATTTGAAGATGTCTTTATTTTTGAATTAGAGAAATCCCTGCCCCAAATATTTTGTAATCTAAAACTTGGTCATGTCGAGAGAAAAAAAGTGATAGGCACTGAATGGGGAGTCTAAAACAACAAGATAATGAAAAAAAGATAAATATTTATTCTTTTTATAGACACATGGTTTTATTACAAATCGATGCATACAAATTGATAGTTATGGTTGCTGTATGATCCAGGCAAATTATAGAACTTGATCTGCTTAGCTTGCGCAATGGACTTTGTTCCAGACATGTTATCTGGACCCTCCTCCTCCTCCTCCTCATTTTGGTTTCTCACATGATCAGCCAGATGTTCAGACTGGTTTTTGGCATTTTTGTCCATCTATTGATTTTGTCCCAAGGATTTGGGATAGGCAGATGTGAATGTTTGATGGGTGTTAAAGATATTGTTGGAGGATGGTTTTTGGAGTAAAGCTGCCTTTTACAATTGACTGGTGGTGATTTTGTCACTGCCGATGTTGTTTGAGTGTGGCTTCAGTTGTTTTGGAGTTGCACCCACGACCCCTATTACTATTGGTACTACCTCTGCTTTCTTTTGCTGCAATTGTTCTATTTTTATTTGCAGGACTTGTATCTTGTTATATTCTCCAGTTCCTTCTCTTCTCTTCTGCTGTCTCCAGATACTGCCACATCCACTATTCAGACTTTTTTTGGGGGCCTTTCTTATTATTTTTCTTATGGATTATTTACTAAACTTAAATTCCATCTCACCTAGAGGCAATTCGAGAGGTGACTCTGGCAGCTTACAATCAATTAAAAACAATAAGATAAAATATTTAAAACATTAAAACAATAAATATTAACACTAAAGTTGAGTTAAAATTAATAAAGATGGGAGGAAAGGGAGCAAGAATGACACAGAGGAAAGGTAGAGTGTTATCTTAGTCCATTAATCACCTCTAGAATGATACAACCTCATCGGCACCCCAGACCAGTTGGCAGATCCAGGTCTTTGGTTCCTTTTGGAAGGCCAAAAGCTTGAATCTTACCTCAGGAGCATGGTGTTTTCAGAGGGTGGGAGTCACAGCAGAAAAACTTTTCTTGGACCCTGCCCACCAAAATTCCTTGACTCATGGAATCTGCAGTATGACCTGTCTGTTAGCACAGGTGGGGACAGCCAGTCGCACAGTAGGTGAGACGGCACCTCAGATAACCTGGACCCATGCCATGAAAGACTTTAAAGATAAGAACCAACACCTTGAATTGGATTGGGAAGCAAACTGGCAACCAGTGTAATATCGGCCACCCTAGGGGACCCAAGAACTGTCTGCATGGCTTCATTTTGCGTTGTAGCTTCCAAATATTCTTCAAGGGTAGCCCCTTGTACAGTGCCTTGCTATAGTCCAAGGATGAGATGATCAAGATTCGTGTAACTGAACGCAACTCAGGAAAGAAGCAATTGGTACCCCAGATGAACTGGCACAAAAGCTGTCCTGGCCATGACTGCCACCTGCTCTTTGAGCAGGAGTACAAGTCCAGGTTGAGTACCAGGTCTGTCTGGGACAGTGCAATCCCATCCAGAACTAGGTGCAAGGAACAAATGACATCACATGCATGTTTGCAAATTATATAGTGTAAATACTGTAAACAGTTGAATGATATATCTTTAAATATCAGAGTCTGGGAACCAGGTATATGAGAAGTACTGCTGATGAAATATCTAAGAGAGGAAAGTGATTTTCTCCAATTATTTTTCTGTAATGCTTTCCTTCCCACAGATCTGCTCCAAAGGAGTGTGGGATCAGTCAGAACAACAAGGAAAGGATTCTTCAGGGTCAGATGTGGAAGGAGGAGAATTTCTGTAACTCATAGGAACATTTAGAGACTCCAGGGGGGGTCCCTAATTAAAGACAACTTTGTTCATGACTAGCTAATCTTAATATTGATTTCATACAGCTTTAGAGCCTTTACTATTCTTTACTATTATTTGTTCTGTTTTTGCCCTTCTCTGGGCATAGATGTGTAGACTGACATGAAGGTAGCAAGAGAGTGGGGAGAGGCAAACCAATGACTTATACAAAATCACAGAGTTTCACTTCTTCTTGTAGAGGCTTATTTATCCAGTCACTTTTCACTCTATGTGAGTTCACTTTATGTACCTTTATGAACATTCACAGAAAATTGTCCATATATCAATTTCCCCACCAAAACTGAATATCCGTAAGGTCTTTTAGTGGCAGCACTAAATCATAAGAATTGAGGAACTAGATGGTTTGAAATTAAGATGGTGTCCAAATATGCTTGTGAATGTGAGACATTCTGTAAAAAGCTGTGCATTGGTAAAATCTTATTAAAGAAATTTAATAATGAAGGGTCCTTGGTGCTCCGTGAGCTTGGTAGCTTTCTTGCAGTTGTTTCATTACCAAATTAGGTAACATCATCAGTGTTGATGACATACTGATGATATAATGGAATGTCTTCAAGAAAACAACCAAACTCAACAAGAAAACCACTCAAATATTCTTAAATAAGAATAAATATAAATATAATATAATAAATATATTATATAAATATAATAAATAATATTATTATATTATTAAATATAATATTATATAATATTAAATATAATAAATAATATTATTTATAATTAAATAAATTTAATATAAACTTAGCATTATTATAAAGTTCTATTTTTTGTAGGTTTTTTAAAGACTTACTTATTACGGCATTGTACTATATTATCTTTATTACAGGCTAAGAAAAGATGGAGGGATTTTAACATGTTGAATCATGACTTAGTTTATGACTAAGACCTATTAACCATGAATTCACCATCCATGAGCCTTTTCAAGAATAACATGGTTTTGCTTGGCAAACAATTACTGCATAACTCTAAATGTAAAACTTGCTTCTAGATTTTGTTTTAAATACATAGCCTTAAACTATATATTTGGGAAAACGTGGGTCCTCTGTTAAACAAGGACATAATCAGTGTTGTTCATAGATTGGCAAATTGTGCAAACTTGGAAAAGTAGATAGTTTGTCATAATAATTTTTCAGTTACTTTATTAAAATTATATCATCATGATCTTCATAATCATAATCATAACCATCATCATCTCATTATCCCATCATCTACTTCAGGATGAAGGTTTAGACATGCTGTACTGTACTGTTTCCAGTTGAGTTTAATGATCAGCCCAACATTTCATCGGCTGTTTTCTGGATTGTATATAAAATGGGTATTATTTTCTTGAATATTCTAAGTCTGAAAAACTAACAAATGAGAATAAATTAAACCGGAGCACATAAATATTATATGCTTCAATGTGTAGAATAGTATAGTATAGAATAGAATGCATAGAATTATGTCAATTAACAGAACATTAGATGAGTGAAGACTTTATTCATTTAAGATATTGGATTTGTATCCTGGCTATCTACTTATTTAAGCACTTGAGGCAGCTTATAAAAGCTGCAACATTAGAGTCAATAAAATTACAATCAATTAGCAGGTAGGTTGGTGAAAGTGGTGGTAAAATGCACCTCTCTAAATTGATACCTGCATAATGGAAAGGGCACTTTTCTAATATGGGAAGTTCTGGTAGCTATGGAAACTTCTTCAGGCCTTCTTCTGATCTAGATAACTGGTTAAGTTCATATCCAGGAAGGCAGCACTTCAGGTAGAAAAGATTAGACAGACAGACAGATTAATAGAATTGGAAGGGTCTAGTCCACCACCCCATGCCCAAGCAGGAGACTGTACCATTTCTACTGTGTAGACTCTACACAGATAGCATCCAGTCTCTTCTCGAAAGCTTCCAGTGATGAAGCTCCCACAATTTCTGAAGGCAAGCTGTTCCATTGGTTGGAAATTAATATAACAGTTTGTTCTTATTGAAATCAATGACAAGCACACCATTTATGTATACTTAGATCTCTTGTTTTAGCTCTTCTTACTACATCTACTTACTCTGTAGATGTCCTATAGCAGATGTCCTGATTTATTCCATAGTAGTATTTTTCTGATCCAAATATACATAAACCAATAATTTAAAAATGTATATTTATTGTTGCAAATGTGTCAATAAGTCAAGTTATATCCCTTGTTTGTGCTGGTGTACATAAATTTATTCAATGTAGGAATAGTCTAAGTTTAAATAAATCACAGAAAAATCTTTATCTGAAATATTGTTAATGTTTGGGGTAGTTTTGTGATCAGCCAATGGGACCAGAAGGAAGGAAATCAAAACCAGGTACCCGATTAATGATAACAAGGCCATATCTATCAGGTTGCTCAAAATCTGCAAACTAACAATTGTGTTAGTGTTGCACACATGTACAAAAGAGGCTGTGCTTGTTGTACCTGTCATCTTGCAGATTTTGACCCCCTCTTCATGGATGGCCCTGCTTCCTTTGTCATAATTTTAGATTAATAAATCTAATTCAATAATTTCAGTTGCCTTAGTCTTAATAAAATTAATCATAATTAAGTCCCATGAAGCCAATGACATGGTAATTATTGGTGGTAATAATAATTAGTTGAAATCTGATTAATACCTATGGGATTTAAATGCAGTTTTCTTTCTTTGGATCAAAGGATTTGCAGGAATGGAGGTGTTGGTTGTTGGAATCAAACTATTGTTTATGCTGTATTTGATGTTGGTCCACTTACCAAGTTGTCACTCTTTCAGTTCCTCTTGAAGGGGTAATAATATGTACATTATTCTGACTGTCTAAGCTTTTCTGAATGTTGCCATCCTTGTGAGAATGTGTTCAATACAAGATTCATTTTGTGAATATCATCTCTTTTTTTTTTTTTAACTCTCTTTCAGCAAAATTTTCAGATGTTCACTATAATGCTCTCTGGGATATACCACAGTAACGAACTGGACTAATATGCTTGGACATTCATTATTGTTAATTATGTTGCATAAATAATTTGTTCTCTGTTGTTATTTATATAATTGTAAGTAGGAATTTGTCTATTATGCAGGATTATTCGGACAAAGGTGCAGCAGCCACCTAACCAGCAAGTCCCAGCCTCAAGTCATAGCATAGGTAACGGAAATTTTGTGTGTGTGTCTGTGTGTGTCTGTGTGTGTGTATTCATTCTAAGGAACTTTTAATCACTCTTAGGGCCAGAAAATTCTGCATAAAACAGTTCAGCACACGTACTAATGCACCTTCTTTATCATTCTCCAAGGGTTGAACATGGTAAATGAATTTTATAAATACTGCTAAAAGGTTTTGAATTTTACTGATTATTATGATAAATAGCTTTCACCATGAGACAGAAAATTGAAATCTAAACCAAAAAAAAATCATCCTACTAATGGGGGTCTATAGAATGTCAGATAATTAAAGTAATAAATCAAGAAAAGGATAGTTCTTCATAACATTTTCTGCACCATTAGTCAGTAAGTAGTTTTGAATGTGTTTTTTTCTTCTATCAACCAAGCCTTCCACAATTCTTTGTGCACTTGCAATTTTCAGTGAAGAGGTAGCAAAACTTTGAAAACTTTATTTCTCTCTCTCTCTACCTAATTCAGATGCATACCATCAAATGCTAGTCATTGAAAAGTAATAGACTTTATAGGGGTTTTTCTGGCAGAGTCCCTGACACAGAAATAGAACTGCTTAAAATAAACTCAGCTAATTTGAAGTCACTTACATAATATATTCAAGCCGATATCCTCTTGCTGAACCAAAGAAGGGGAATCAACATACTTCAACTGAACTGAACATTTTAAAAAACAGATTAACATAGATACCTTGATTTTATTGTCTTTACAAAAAAAAAATCCCTCTGTAAAACTTTTGAGAGAAATGAATTTCAGTAAATTTTATTTGGATTAAAAACAAGTTTATTAAGTTGCAGGCATTGTTTTAAATATAAACAGTTTTAAAACAGAATAAAGGGAAATGCACTCCAGAATAATCTCACTGATTTCACTTGAGACTGAATGGATTTAATTCCAGTTATTTCAGCTCAAGATGCAGATGGGTCCATAGAGAAGACATCTTTAATTTGTATCTATTAATTTGTAGTTGTCCTTCTCACTTCTGTTCAATTTTAGGGTCTTTAGTGAATATCATATATTGCACTATTGCAGTGATAGCCCATTCATGCCCTTCAGGTTTCATCTGATCCTGTTGGCTAAGTGTGTTTGGGGGCTGGAATAAGTAGTGCCCAACAGGAGAGGGTATGAATGTGAGCTAAATTGCTGGTTATGGACTTTATTAGACATATTGTTTTTGTTTGGATGTTTCTTTCAGCTGCCTAAAGTCACATTGTTCAGGTTGGATAGCCATGCCAATAAGAAATATTTAAAAATTAAATAAATGTGTACTTCTCCACTCCATGGCTTCAGCAGAAAGCATTCTAACCCACCTGATATGTCCTTTCTACCTCCTTTGCTGCACCTCTAAGTCTTCTCTAGAAGGGAAGCTACTGAATGTTATAGGTGATGCTTTTTGTGAATATATTGAGAGGGGAATGGAGCAAGCAGAGAAATCACTTATCCAAGGTTCCTGATTTTGAATCATGTTTGACTTCTGAATTTGTGAAGTCTAATTACATAGAATACATATAACTTCTTAAATAAATTAAATTGGATCTTTATTAGCCATAAAACCAACAATGGATGGCACTGATATGCACTCTGCATACTTAATTCCAATTTCAGTGTGTATTTTGCTCCAAGAGTTCTAATGAAATCAAATTAACTCAGTACTGAACCAGGCGAGTTGTATCATTTGGCAGACTGAGTTGTCTACTCCAGCAGGAAAGATTTTGGATATTATTGAAGGACAAAAGAATGTTAGTTATTTATGTGTTTTGCTTTTGTTAGAAATGCCATTTGCAGACCAAGAGATTCTGTTATTCACAAGACCCAAAGCATTAATTTACTTTATTCTAAACATAAAATGCAAATGCAGCAACAATTGTTATTACAACCCTCTTTCTCTTTAGACTGCAAGTGTCCTAGAAGTGGTTTCCTTTGGTCTGTGCTATTCAACATCTAAATTCAAAATTAAGTTTAAATCCCTTGTTATTCTGTTTTATTGTGTGGCCCCAAGCCCTAACTGCATTCCTTTTCAGACTAATTTATTGAGAGCAAATGGCCTTGTATACACTATCCTGGAAAAGAATTAAATTATAATTATCATTTTTGTGAGCTAGAAGAGATCATAAGTTAAAAGTGATCTGAAAAATCTATAACTTGGATTCATAATTTGACTTAGCCATAACCTCATGATCTGCTTTTAGGCAACAATTTCCCACCTTAACATGGATATATTAACACTATTCTAAGTTAGAAGGTGGTTGTATGATATGATATATGATATGATGCATAGGAAGTATTTTGAACCTTTATAAACTAACTACTACATCATAAATGGTCCAAAATACTAAACCTAAGTTTTCCACCATTTGATCCAAGGCCTTCTTTCTCTATTTGATATCATCCAGAAGCAAAATTCCAGAATTTTTAGTCGTTGATAAATTGAATAATTTTTGCAGTGCACACATTTATTTACCGTAGGGTTTTTTTTGTCACAATATCTAGAGCTGATAGCTGAAATTAGACTGGAAACTGACATTCTAGTGACTGCAAACAGTCTCTTTCCCTCTTCCCATCCCAAAGAGATGATTGTAAGATATTGAAGCATGCTTACTTTTTATGTTGGTTTGCCCATTGATTCATTTGTTTCTAATTACAGCCTCCACAGGGTCTGTGACGCAGGTGTCTTCGGTAAGCACAGACTCAGCTGGCTCCTCCTACTCGATTAGCGGAATTCTGGGAATTACTTCTCCCAGCGCTGAAAGCAACAAACGCAAAAGAGAGGAAGGTAAAAAATAAACAAATCACATTCTTATAGTCTATGAAAGTGCATGTTCTAGTCTTTATTGCTCTATTGGATATTTAATTCCCAGATATTTAATACCCAGTATTCACAAGGTAGAGACATGGCATTTTGTGGGTGAGTTAATTTTAATGGATTTTCTTAAAAAAACACAAACAAGAATGTCTCTGTGTAGACAAAATAATTCATTGGAAAATTATGAATCAGCGTATCCAGATGATTGAACAAGAATAAATCTTTTGAATTATTATTTTATTGTATCAATTTTGAGAATATTATTTTATTCTATTCTGACATCCATGACTGCTACAATTTCAAACAAGAGTAGGGTGGAAGAAAGATGAGATTCTAATACTGTCCCAAAATTACAATGTTGGGGGCCATGGACTTTTCAAATAGCAACATTAATTTATGTCAATACTTCATGAAATGACAACATGGTTAAACACCTGTTTCATAATTGTGTTAATATTAGAACTGGGCAGTATCTCAGATTCTTCTTGCATTATCAGTTTAATTGGGGGAGGGGTTCATGTAAGCATTGTACTGTTCATTTTTTTATTTTTCAAAATTCAGAGTAATATAAAAATATAATATAAAAAAGTAGTAGAGAAAAAACAATGGTTTTTTTTTTTGTGTGTGTGTGGATTTGATTGAATTAGATATGTGAATTATTCAATACAAGTTAATCAATGTTGGCTTCATTCAGAATGTCCTGCCTGAAGCCACCTTTAAAAGACTTTTCCAGAGTATGCTTGTTATACATAAAATTCTCATTAAGCCTTTTATAAAACTAGATCAGTGTGCACTGGTATGTAATCTTTAATGAGATTAATTTGTAGTTTGATCAACTGAACTCTGATTAAACTGTGTGAGCCAGTTTTAAAGAAAAAGAACCAATTTTAATCAATGATTCTCTGCATACAAGGAATATTTCTCCATTTTAAAACTACTTTAACTATTATGTCAAAACAACCAGGAGTTTTAAAATTATGAAAAATTAGCTTTCTGTGAAGCAATCAGTAGCAGTTTTTATTTATTTAAAATTATTTAGATTTCCTTCAATTATTTAAAATATTCACATGCTTTTAGCCAAATCAAAAGCTTTTATTATGATCATGGAGCAGAAAACTTTTGGCGTCAGTCTCAATACACTAATATGTGTGAAATAGAATATTCTTATTATAACAAAATAAGTAAAAGAAGGGTCTCTCCAATCGGCTTTTCTACTAATCCAGTAAATTCCTGTAGATGTGAAAGCAATGATACTTATCTATGGTATTAACCTTTTAGTGAGAAGAACAGCAGAGTGGTTGCAATATAAATGTATTTAGATTTCCTTAATGGAGTGCCACCTTCTGCAGTGGAAGTACTTCAGGTGAAAATCTATTCACAACTGCATCTTCAGGGCTGGGATCCTACCAGTTTGCACCTATTCGCTAGAACCAGTTGTTAACATTCAACCGGAGACTGGTTGTTAGAAGAAATTACTGGCCTAATCCTGTAAGGAAGGCAGGAAGGAAACATTCTGGTGTTGCTTACAGAAACTGCCTCTCCGTTAACCCTTATTACATTTTTGGCAGGACTAGACTTCCTGTCTCAGGAACTTCTCTGGAGTTTTCCCCCCCTCCTTTGCTGGTACTTTGCTTGTATGGAGTGACCATTCAAAGTTACAATGGCCCTGAAAAAAGTGACTTATGACCATTTTTCACACTTACGACTGTTGCAGCATCCACACAGTCATGAGAGGCCAGGCGAGGAGATGTGTTCCTCGATGTGAGTGATATTGAGTTGGCCACACCCAGCCAATATCATGACCACCAAGCCACGTCCACCTAGTCACATGACCACCAAGCCACGCCCACCACCTAAGCCATGCCCACAGAACCAGTTGTTAAAAAATTTGAATCCCACCCCTGTGCATCTTCATTCATAAATGACACAGTGAGCATGAATAAGAATTAAATGCTACTGGCAGTAATTATTATTCCAAGGTCTTTCAGTCTAAGTAGGTAATCAGTCATCAAGAACTGACCAATCTTAGTCCCTGTGTGAATACGTTCTTACCTCAAGTACTATTGAGGTTACAAACCCCTTTGAATTCTATACTCAGAATTATGTTACATTAATGCTCAGCATTTCTATAGCACTCCACTCCATAACAATACACTTTGCTGAGTGTACTATATACTATGCTAGTGTTCTTTGGAGGTATAAGACTGGAGCACTTAGAATTCCTGGGCGGCATTCTGGAACATCTGAAGATAGAAAACAAATAGCAACTATCTCCTGAATGCTACTGAGTAAATTCATATCTTGAATTGGAACCATAACTTTGATTCATAGCTTACATTCCCATTACACTCTAGATTCTTATCAGTACAAAATTTTACTTAATTAGAAAAAAATATGCACATTTTTCAACTTAGTTCAGTTTGTTTATTCCGGCTGTAGCACAGGAGTAACAGATATAGCAGTGATCATTGTATTTCCATTGTCAGCTAAGTATATAGTAGTTCATAGTATAATCAAAGAAGAACAGATCAAAGCATCATTTAGTGAACAAGCATTTACTCCAACATTCATAAACATTCCTCATTAGACATAATTAGATAAGGAAGAGATACCTCTTTCCTTATACCTTCACGTTTGTCTGGTTTAATATTTCTGTTCAATCTACATTAAAGGACCAATATACTGTAACTGTTATTTCATTTTACAACATTCAATTTTGAGATTGGTCAAATATTTGTTGGTCTATACTTCCTACAGACCATTCTAAGAACTCTGAGGATAACATAAAGAGCTGGCAGGCACATTTTCCTCATTTCCTCATCTGAATTGCTTTCTCTATTGCTTTATCTAATATTATATCTTTGGTTTCAGTTTAGTATTTTGCATAAATCAGGTTATTAACATTTATTTATTTATTTTGTTTTATTTATTTTATTTGTCAATTGCTTACAAGATAATAGGTATAAGTAAAAACATAGTTATGAATACATGGATGCATATAAGAAAAAAATATATATAAAAGAAACATAATTGTATGATCCCAGTCAATTTAATTTTCCAAGGTACAGTGATTTTCAAATATGGTTAATTGTAACATGAAAAAACAAATTCCTTGAAAGGGAAAATCTCATTGAAATATTAAACAAGTTGGACTAAATAAACTTTAGTAGCCTTTGCTAAACAGAAAAAAAGCAGTGAAGTCTCCCTTTATTAAGCCTACAATATCTGGGTTTCAAAAAATCCATATGATCAATAGCTGGCAGCAAAGAATTACTTTTCTTTGCTACCACCTAGTGATCATATGGAGTTTTGCAGCCCAGATATAGCAGTCCTAACCCACCCCCCCAAACTATTTGTCTAGAGCAGTGGTTCTCAACCTTCCTAATGCCGTGACCCTTTAATACAGTTCCTCATGTTGTGGTGACCCCCAACCATAAAATTATGGCTTGGTTCCTAAGACCATTGAAAATATGTGTTTTCCTATGGTCTTAGGCGACCCCTGTGAAAGGGTTGACCCTTTTGACCCCCAAAGGGGTCATGACCCACAGGTTGAGAACCACTGGTCTACAGACTAGTGAGTTATAGGACTTAAAAACCATAATGGCAAGTAGAGTAGTGTTGCTAAAGGGGTTCTGGGGAACATCTTTCTGAGCCCCACACAAAGCTTTTCTCCTCTCCATCTACTATCCAGTTCTGGAAGTTTCCTCTGCTAAAGAATAAAAGAAAAATGTAATTCTTTTGTTCCCATTCTGCATAGTCATGGAATGAAATGTTCATTATTTTTTAAAGCACTGATTTCTTTTTTTGTAGAGTTGCAACACTGTCTTTTTTCCTCCTTTCTCTTGAAAAAAACTTTTCACTATTCTTAGAGGCTCTTTTAGAGCTTTTCCTACAAACTCTTTGCACACTGGGAAATGAAGTATTAGATAGGATTATTTGTAGCTTTATTCCACAATGTAAGATGTTTCTGCAAGAAGTTTGAAAGGAATCTCAGCCCATCCCATCTCTCTTTTATCCTGTTTGTCTACCAGATTTTTTTTAGAGTTCCTTTTTGTAGAGCTTCAGGAAACCATCCATGGTTAACTGGGCACTGGCACTGAACTTTCAGCCTTTCACTAAAAAGCTGGAATCTTTTAAGGTCACTTCCTCACTTCTGGCAGGGACTCTCTGCTGATCTCAGCTTCCTCTGTAAATAGAATAGCAGGTATGGACCAACTTGCAATGAACTCCGGACAGACATAGCCAGTCTGTTCTCTGTATAAATCCTATACTGAAGAACAAAGGATATACGATCGTGATGATGACATAATAAAAGCAGCACAATTGACTTTATTCAAGCGTAGTAACCAGAATGAATAGAAGTATTGGAGAGCAATATGGGAAATATGGGAATAACAGCATGGTTTTATTGGGGACTGAGGGCATGCAATGTAGACCTTGGTCAATGAGAAATGTTTCATTGGGAAACAGAATTTTTATTCTATCTTTGTTGATTCAGAGAAACAGTATTATCAAATTAATATTACCCGATTATGGGATATGGAATTGAAAGCTGCTTACAGAATGAGATGAAAGTATATGATAGAAGTAAAACATGTGTGAGAATTAATAGGATGTTTAAGAAATGGTTCAGGATTGACCAGAGAGTAAGACAAAACTCTGTAATGCTCCCTTGGTTGTTCAACATATTTATGAATAAATGTATAAGAAATGCTTATAATGAATTTTTGACGTGCTGGTTGGGGATGTGAATGCATATGTACTTTTCCATGCAGACAATTTGAAACCTAAATGATTTTCAGCAACTATTAGATACAATGTAAAATGTAGTAGGGGAAGTTGGATTTGAAAATTAAAGAATCAAAGACCAAGGTAAATATATTTGACAGAGAAAATGAAGTGGACAAATAAAAGTTATATATACCTGGTAAAAAATTAGTCCAAGTAAGTGAATTTGCATACCTTAATAG